GTCTAAAGAAGTGCATGTATTGAGTGATGGATACAAACAAAGTAGTGTTAAACACACCGAAGATGTGGGAAGTGTTGAATATACGGCACCCGAAGGACAGACCACTGAATACAACCATTTAATAGATGTCTATAGTCTGGCACTCATTGGGGCACAACTTTTCGGTTTCAATACAAGCAATATTGAAAATGGAAAGTATGTTATAAGAAATTTAATATATTTTACATATAATATTATATTATTAAAATAATTAATAAAATACAATATTATTATTAGATTGGATTCAAAATTACAAAATAATAATAATTTTAGTCAAACGAATAAATTAATAGAAATAAACCAATTATTGCTTGAAATGAGTGCTAATAAGTACTCAACTAATGGATCGACGGATTGGAGACAAAGACCCGAATGTGAAGTAATTTTACACAAATTAAAACATTTATCGATTGAAGTGATTGTTGAAAAAAACTATTTATCACTTAATAATATATTTGAAAATAAATTCATATTATTTTTCAATTATTATTGTAAATGGACTAAAATTATTTTTATTTGCCAAACATCTGAACATGGTAAATTAATAACTTATTATTACTACATTACTACTCTTTCTAAACTAATAAAAATTATTTTGATAATATTTTAGATATCGACTCAACTTCTCTATTATACAATTCAAATGGATACCCTGGTGATTTAGTTAAAGCCCAGAATATTAAAACTAACAAATTCTATCATATAATGAAATTAAGTAATTATGATAAGTATAATAATAAATACCATAAAATAATGATTATTTTCCAAACATGTGAACATGATACACCTATGAATCCAGGTAGAGGTCTTCAAAGATTTAAATCAAGGTATATTAAAATCGACAAGCCTTATTCTCGAATAAATATATGTAAGTGTTGATTTAATAATCTTTACATTTTTTAATGTCACCATGTGCGTTATATTTTAAGCCCCCTTTATGAGTAATACCATTATATTTGCACATTCCGTAGCTTCCAATATAGAGGTGTTCACATACAACGTACATACCGTGTAAAATGACATAACTTTACAACCTATGAATCCAGGTAGAGGTCTTCAAAGATTTAAATCAAGGTATATTAAAATCGACAAGCCTTATTCTCGAATAAATATATGTAAGTGTTGATTTAATAATCTTTACATTTTTTAATGTCACCATGTGCGTTATAATTTAAGCCCCTTTTATGAGTAATACCATTATATTCACACTATCCGCAGCTTCCAATGTACAAGTGTTCACATAATATGTAAATATTATGTGCACAACGTACATACCGAATAAAAGGACAAATTTTACATATAATGCTTTGTCAAATCGAACGAACGATCCTATAAATCACATTCTTCATAAATGAATTGTGGTTAAAAAAGACGTTAAACCTGAATATTGTATATGTAAAGTTATGTCATTTTACACGGTATGTACGTTGTATGTGAACACCTCTATATTGGAAGCTACGGAATGTGCAAATATAATGGTATTACTCATAAAGGGGGCTTAAAATATAACGCATATGGTGACTAGGCGTGCTAATATTTATATTTTATACCTAATTATTAAACTAACATTAATTTAAAATAAGTCTCATTTTAATAATGCTTCCAATAAATAAAAAATTTTGTATTTAATATTTATTTTATTTACAAAATTATAATTTATAAATTATTTTTAAGATTTATTTCTAATTATCTAATATTATTTATAAAAATTTTAACTCATAGCTTATTACGATATTAAAAAAAGGTTTGTAAATATTAAGAAAATATTTGCAATAAAACCTCAATATTTGTTACAAATATATAACTCTTGGATTGAAAACAAAGAGTTTTTTATTCAAATGGAGTTTTGTTCGCAAACTCTATGGGATGTCATAAATGCAAAACAAGCGATATTTGGGACACAAACCCATCACTCGTTGGCAATGATTTCAATGGATTTTCTGATTTCACAGCAATTGTTGAGACAATTATTACACTGTATTCAAGAATTGATTGCTTTGGATATAAATATTGATAACATTTCATTCGATACCAAACATATATTTATATCAACTGATAATATAATGAGCGAAAACTATATTAAATTATATTTATATGATTACAACGTTCCGCTAAATAATATACAAACTCTTGCAAACACCCCTGTAATCAGAGAAACATTCAGAGGATTGTTTGAAATACAATTATCGCATAAGTATTAATATTTATTATACAAATATATAAATATTATAACTGATTTCATATTGTATAGAATTGGTTATAAACACAAGGATTACAAGTCATTTATTTGGGATAATTTTGGTGTAAATGTCGATCAAATCCAAACATTTTTCAAGGGATTACTCGAAGAATCAGAAGAGAGAACACGAGATATAAAGGATATAATGAATGAATTCAATGCTATTTTTGGTGATAAAAGTAACGAAATTAATGCTAATATAATCTCACGGATGAAAAGAGCAATTCTGTGGCGAATCCCTATATTTAAAGCAAAATCAATAAATTATAAATACATTTATAATTGTTTCAAAGAAATAATTAAACATCAAAATCACCAATTTGAAACGATGAATAAATTAAATGTTAAATACAACATAAATGTGCAAAAACCAATTTATAATTACGAATTATGTAAATCACCATGGCCGTATTCTAACCAAATTCACCTTCAAGTTCAAACTACAGATACAGTACACATCAATATATCAAAAGAGTTTAAAAAAGATTTCACTGCCAGGGGTCGGGCCATCATAATAGTTACTCAATCTGAGTTGACCAACGAAGCAGAACGATTCAGGTCAATTTTCACACATTTACTATTTGACACAGAGGTTTATTTGCTACTCACACGTGACCAGATTCAAACCAAATTGACCCAGGTGGCAAATAGTGATGAATATAATGGCGACGCGTTTATCATGATGTTTATCGGTGACGGCTATAACGAGAATATAATAGGCTATAGAGATCCGAATGACACGCAATTGCCGCCAGAGAATCACAATCTGTTGCCTATTAGTGATATTGTGGCCACTTTTGCCTGGACTCGGGCCCCAGTATTACGATATAAAACCAAAGTGTTTATATTCAACTGCGACCGCTTAAGTATGCTATTTTTATCTACCATGGATATTATCAAATATAAAACTGCATCAACCAAAATCTCAAACTTGGTAAATTATAACATTCTCATTTTTTAAATCGCACAGAAGTTGACGTCGACTTATACAAAACTATTGTGACAAATGATTTTTGCGTTAAATCTGCCGAGATGATTTTGGGCCATAAAGAACCGGCACTGATTAACAAGTTGACCATGCTTGATCCACAATTCAAACATGATAATAATCAAATTTATGTCATATATTCCTGTCGCGAGGGTATGCTTTTGTATCTATTTATAAATTGAAATGTTGTTTGTCTAATTCATATATTAATTACAATAATCAGGGTATGCCTCTTGGCATAGACCTGTTGACGGTCCTATTGGTAATGTCACTCAATTCGGTCAAACATTTAGTCATACAATAGCGCAGTACTCGTCATATAAAAGCCTGATTGAGATGTTTGTTATGGTTTGTCATGTTTTTAAAAATGATATAAATTATTAAAAATTTAAAATCAATTCGTTTATATTTTTCAGACACTAAACCGTATGGAAGACGAGCTAATGAAGAAGATATTTTGGCAATTGCCAGAAATAAATATGTTTGAAACGACCAAGGATTTTTATTTTAATCTTGATGTCTCGAATACACTAAATGATATTGACAATAACAATTAATTGCAAAAATATCTATTAAGTTAAAGTTTATTTTACTTATAAAGTTTACATTATTTACACATTTACAATATTTCATATACGATATTATAATGCAACAATTGATTTATAGTTTACTTGGTAGTTATTTAAAAAAAAAAATATTATTTAATTAAGTTAGATACGAGACTAATTAGTTATTTGTTATACAATAGGTTTTTTTAAAAACGTGTTAACCATAATTTATTATTGAAATACCATATTGACATTACATTAAGTAATTATTTAAATAAAATATAATTATTTAAATTAAATAAAAATATTTTAATGATTAAATTAATGAAATAAAATAAATACTTTATATAACTTGCAATATTGCCCAGATAAATATAAAATTACTTCATGTTAATATTTTTGACTCGTTTACAAAAATATTACAGTTTGTTGCCTATTTCTTTATGTTGATTGCGTTTTTAATATTGATATGATTAAATTTTTATTCTAATTATATTATTTCACCTAGATCGTCGAGCAGGAGCCGGATAATACAGGCGACGACTACGACACATACCGGGCCGACCGTACGGCACATTCCACTAAAACAAATACAAGGAACAAATAATTATGTCGTAATCCAATTTATCCAAATGAGTTGTATAAGTAGTCCAATACTATAAATAAAATTAACTACTGATATTAGATTTTAACATATTTAAAATAATTCTACAGTTTGATTGCCTTATTGTTAACATAATTGCTATAAATATTATTTACCTTTAACGTGATTATTATAATTTGCCTAGATCATCGATTAAATGCCAAACAAGATCAATGATTACGACACCTTTACCTGAATATGATTAGATAACCGGAACTTCATGTATGGGTCACTGAACTCATGTAACTGTTGTTAGATATGTTTAAATGTATTAATTAATGTATTAACGTTTAATTAAATATTAATTATACAAATTATATAATTAAAAATTATACAAATTAAATACAATTAATTTAATATAATTCATAATAGTAATATTTAATTCACCCAGGTGGCGGGAATCCAAGATTATAATTAAGTCGTTTAGTGGAAATATTTTATAACTCATTTATGTAAATGTTACAGTTTGCATGGTGTTAAGTGTTAAGTTAGTAGTGTTGTTTAAATCTAAAGTGAAAATTCTCAAATTAATTTAATTTCAATCAACACATGTCTACTAAAAGTAAAAATAAGTTAATTTAAAACTTATATTTTTTAAATCAACACAATAAAATTTGTATTATCGAGATAAAGTATACATATGTTTTAGTGATACAGTATTACATGATTTAGTTAAACTTGAGTTTATTCTAATAAACTGTAGAATTCAATAAAAATTTAATTTCTATAATGCATGTTTTATTAAAATTATATTTATGGCATTAAATATATTTCTTTAAAATTTATTATTTATTTAGTGTTATAATATCAAGTCAATTAATTAAATATTATTACCTTTATTGTTGGCTTATACATACATGGAAGGATGTATATATTAACGTGTATTTACATGAAAATGTTCATAAGTTATATAATAAACAAATTATTAATCAAATTTATAACTATTATAAAATTAGTTTTAGTTATTTTAATTTACCAAAGTATTAGAAACTACATTATCAATACAGTGACCATGGTGTAGAAATGTAGCTATACGTCATAAAACTGTAATACTTAAAAATTATTATTTTAAAATTAAATATAATATTCAAATAATATTAAATTGGGCAAAAAATTCAAAACAACCGTTTTTATTTTACACTACAGACCCGATCGGCTCAAATAATGTTGTTTATAATTATAATAGCTATACTTTACATAATTAATATAAACAGCATAAATATTAAATTTTTGTATAAAACATATGTTATTTATGATGTCCTCTATATATCACAAATGACCCGTTTACACAAATGGTACTTTTTTACGTGTCTATGCAGTCCGGGTTTTGGTTTCAGGGTTTGGTTTATACAAATGGTTAGTTCACACAACTGTTACTTCACCCAAACGATCCAATACTGTAATATCAGGTTTATTTATAACATATTTAAAATTACTTTACAGTTTGAATGTCTTATTATTGTATAAATTGTTATAAATATAATTTACCTTTAACATGATCATTGATTAAAAATTAAACTAGCGAGAGTTTTAACAGTTTGGCTACGATCTTAGCTAAATTACAAATTATGCACCTAGAAAATTTATTTGTATTGTTATTTAAATATTAATTAAATATTTATCAATAACTTATTGACAATAAAACACATGCTTTTTAGATAGATTTATGGTGTGATTTGGTTACAAATAAAATCATTAAATAATTAAAAGCTTAATTGTATGTAATGCAATTAATTTTATTTAAAAATATAGGTTATATTAAATTATTTATTTAACTATGTTAGTTTATAATAGTTTGTAATACTTTTAAAAACTTACCAGCTGTATTTGATAATTTATAGATAATAAATGTATAAATAAATTAGTTTAGTTTTATTTATTGGACAATTAACGAAACAACCTTTTTAACTATATTAGTGAAATAATTTTTTGACCGATTCTTATATATTTTGCACAATAAATTTAATTTTAATTCAAATCACATTATTATAAATTAATTATTTATTTAGTGATTTTAATTAATAATACATGTATAATTATTATAAATTATTCATATTGAATAATTTCTTTATTTTTAATTCGAATACAATTTAATATTAACTTAATATCAACTGTAACTTATTCATCACCATAGCACTAACTATTAGGAAATATTTGAAATTATAAACGATTGGCAAATTGATTCTCATTTAAATTTTAATTTAAAATAATATAGTATATTTATAATTATAATTAAATATGTAATTAAATAAAATAATTAAATTAAAATATTTTCTATAATTAATACCCGGACACTAATAAACTGAACATACAGTGAGACCTATGTGTCGGGGCGGCTGTCAGGAGCCGGTGTGCGACTCACCCGGTTATAAGGGTAGGGATTTGGCCCTCGATGGCTATTCACAACTGTCGGCCTCTACCTCGATGTTTGTTTTCGAGCCAACAGATGATTCACGTAAGTTGAATTACTATTAACTCTATTTGTAATATTAAATTGGTCTAACTAAGGTTTGAATTTGAAAATTTTTAATAATATAAAAATTAAATAAATTTTTATTTTACTTTTTTAAAATTTAGTTACACATGAAAATCTGCCCTAGTGTACCGAGTGAAGATTCCCATGGTTAATTACTTTGTGCCAAGTGTTGACCATGTTATTATTGTTAATTTTTTTGTTAACCGTGTATTAAAACTGAGGTAATTTTAAAAAATTAATATTATTTACTTTATAATAAAACAAACAATTGAATTAGAAGTTAGATACAATTGTATGTTTGAATTGATTAATTAATAATTATACAAAATGAACATAATTAATTTAATTTAATCCATACTAGTAAAATGTCGTCGTGCTAGTCTACCTCCATTATTATAAATCAATTCATTTGGCAATAATATTTAATAACTAATTTATAAAAATGTCACAGTTTGCATGGTTTAGTCTAAATGAGAGCGTATTACTGGATAATTATATATAATTTATATTTGAATAACAAATTAATTATCAAAATAAGTTTTGTGCTTGTTAAAATATATTTGTAATGTATATTTAGCGGATAGATATTAAATTTAATTAATATAAATAACATGCTATACTAATTTAATTATTAATTTAATTGAGTTTTAATGCACTGTATAATATAGTGGTTATAAATTATGCATTTGATAAATTTATTTATATATATTTAAATTTTGATTTAGTTATTTTTAAAATATAAGCCGTAACTTAATTATAAATAAGTCTTTAATTTGTTTGAGTAATTGTAATGTTAAGCTATTGGATCAAAATTTCCTAAGTTAGGATTTTGCTCTTTTTTGTCACACTTACCATGGTGGAATTAATTATTTAAAATAAATATTTAACCTATCCTGGTCAGTAGTAGATATGTCTTACGTTGTTGAAGTATGTACAGTCAGTTTCCTATGTAAGGAACTTTTGTGTGCTTTTCTCTCATAGACTTAACATTAGTACATATTGTGTTACTTATACTGAGGTTTGACTGTACATTTAGTGTAAAGTTACACATCTCGATGACCAGCACTGGCGATGATGGCTGTGGTGTTAAAGTGCGTGTGATTGGCCCGCGAATGGCCATTTGGTTACCACCACTCATCCCATACAAACCCATAATCATCATAGTAGTAGATATGTCTTACGTTGTTGAAGTATGTACAGTCAGTTTCCTATGTAAGGAACTTTTGTGTGCTTTTCTCTCATAGACTTAACATTAGTACATATTGTGTTACTTATACTGAGGTTTGACTGTACATTTTATTATAAACACATAAGACATACAATAAAAACAAGTAAACAAATTTTCAAATCAAATATTTTTATTCAAATTATAAATAATAAATCAAATACACATTCATTTATCTAAAAAATGGTTTTACAATACGTGTTGGTAGTTGTTGTTGTTGATGGTGTTGAGCAAAAAAGTTATTGTTATTGTTGCGCATATCAATACAGTTTTGAAGGGCTCTGTGGTGCTGAATCGCGCGCTCACGTGTGTTGGGGACTGCGATCACAATACCCGGAATGTGCGGAACAATAGGCGGTACACTCATACTCTCGAGGGTGTCGATGACCTCGAGTGCGTCGATGATCTCGATGTCGTCGTCGATATCATTGATGAAACCATCGAGGGGATCGTCATCATCAGACACATCCAGGTATACCACACTTTCCTGTGTGAGAGGGATCTCATAGTTGACGGGCGGAGCTCTCGGTGGAAGTCGGGCAGCGATCGGCTCGTCCTCAATGGTGTCCGGGTCGTCAACGATGTTGTAGTCCTCAGGGTCTATACGGTCCAAACGGATTTGAAGGACATCATAGAGCTGAAAAGGTGGTGTCGGTGGTCGAGGTGGTGGTGTCGGTGATCGAGACCGTGGTGTCGGTGGGCGAGGCGATGGCGGAGGCGATTGGAGAGCGGGTGCTGGAGTGTCGAAGAGAGGGAGTAGAGGATCCGAGCGGCCAGACGAAGGGCCGGCAATTGTGGCGTAAACCCTATCGTCGACAACAGTAGTCCATTGCCACTCATCCCATATTGACGTAAACTCATCGGGCGTCCAATCGGTGATGGGTTCGACCACTGGTGGCTCTGCTTCGGGCACACGACGCCAATACATCCAAGCGTGAAGTCCTCTCCACCAGTCGTCATAACCCTCTTCAGTATACTCTTCGGGTACGTCAAGACATAACGCACGGCCCAAATTGTGTTCGAGCTCTTCGTTTGGATCCGCCCAGAAGTCATCGCCATTTGACATTTCGATCACTATTATCGCTTCACTTCGATCCCTCTGTAATAATAAAAACAATTAAATATAAAATTAAATTACAAAACAAATTCAATAGTTATTACCAATGATTGAAGTCTCAAACGTCTCAAGTCCTCAAGGTCCACGAGTTCAGGACTGCCAGGCCGTACGGGTGTGTCCACATCATCATCCGAAGAGTCGGTCAA